AACACTCTTCTACCCGGACCCCTCAAAGGGTGACCCAAAGCCGACACGCGACCTGGGATAAGGATCCAAAGGGAGCCAGGGAACGCACGTGAAACGAGGAACCCCTGTTTGTTTGTTTGTTTGTGTGTGTGTGTGCCGAGTTGTTTTGGCACAATGGGTATGGGGAGTTTAAACCACCAGGATATGGACCGGATTTTTTAGTTTATGTTTCCATTTGCCAGGGTTTTATTTTGGGGTACCTATGTTTTACCCCACATCCATATCCAAGAAAGGAACACGGATCACGCCAGGTTTGCGCATGGTTGGCCCCAGAGGGAAGCGCCTTGGCCGCAACTGCCGCATGTAGGATGGCAAAACCCCTTCAGCCGGCTTAGGGTGGGCCCACCCACTATATTTTGCAGAGGTTGAAACAACAATGTGGGATTTCAGAGTTTGTTTGTTTGGGAAGCATTTTCCCGCCATCCTGGGGGAGAATCAGAGAAGACATGGCTATTCACCCACTCAAGAGTGCTTGGGAAGGAGATAATGCAACTAATTGCTGCAGGTGGCTGTTCAATATATTTCCTCATAGCTCTGTGGCTAAAATATCTATGCTTAATGTTGCGCTAGTCACGTGAAGCGTTATACACTCAACTGCTCTCACGGCACTTTCATACTCCATCGGGCGTAGGCAATATAAGAGTTCGTTCTATGAGGCTGCGCATGTTTGTGTCACCCCTGACGGGGCGTGTGAGCTGGATAGCTTACGGAAGTCGCGCGCAGAACGTCATGGGCTGCACATAGTTTCTAGCGCGGGCAAAGGCCACTAGACACAAATGCTCGGAGCCGTCAATTGAGTTCTGGCGCGTGTTTGGCGTGCGAGGTAAGTCGACCTGAAAGACGACCGACGACTCACCTGATCCCCCCCCCTGACCAACATGGGCATGGCTGAAGGTCCATCCAATGGAATACATTCTTCTTTTTCCCCTAGCAGTCAGGGGAATTTCCTGTTCAGGTTCTCACTCCGAAGTACTGCATTGTTTGAACAAAACGACGGAACTTGCAACAGGACCGCCACGACTTATCTTCCTATGGTACCCTGAAGGTTGTCTCAAACGAAAGGGTCCCATTTTGGCAGGTGCTCTTGACGTTCCGTTTGTCAGGTTACAGAAGGGTCCTTAGGGTCTTTATATAACCCTCACCTGTTTGGGCGGAAGCAGCATCTGTTTGCGCCGGAAGCACCAGCTTGGCCAAATGAGGATATTTTCTGGACACCGGGTGCTTGAAAACTCCAGCCTGAACTGCAAACACAACTGAAGGACGGTGAAACCGCATTTGTAGCAGCCCCTTTGCATACCCAAAGATACTCCCAGGTGCCTACTGGAGCTTCTTGCATTACATCGACTAGTGGCCAGGGCCCCAGAGCCGGGACGCCTCAGGTCGGAGAATGGCGGGGCTATGGCCACAGCGGCCCCGTTTCAAGATGTTTCAACTCACTTCTATTGCGCTGACTTGCCCAGGATTTGTCTCAACATCCGAAGAAATAGTGGAAGCCCCTGGATGATATCCAAACGGGCAATTCAACATGATGCCGCACATATCCCTGATTCGTTGGGTGGTTTCTTCTTCCGCGCAAGATCCCATAGTCACCAGGGTCACCAGGGCCGTCAAAAAAAGGTGCGATTGATTTAGATCGTTCCCAAAACGGGGCCCCCAAAACCAATCGGGGGTCTCTTTCTGGTCCTTGAAAACCAAAGGTTCCTTGCAAAAGGACCCCAGAGCTTTCCCAACACTTGTCTTTGGAAACTGGCTAAGAGAGCGTGGACAAGACGGTCTACCAAATTTGGCTCTACTTGACACCATCCTTTAGACACCTTGCGGGGGGACATGTCGAAAGATGTCCTCTTGGCCCTTTCCAAGCCTAACCACTGATGCTTGGGTCCAAACCGCAGCAAGCATCACGCGCTCACAGCATGTCATCGTGCAACGACTCAAAAATAGGCAGGAAGCAGACACGCGCAACAATGCGGCAAGAGCTATTTGCGCCAGGTACAACAAGGCAATTCTCAAATGGGGAACTTCTACAGAACTGCAACCACCCCACCAGCATTGCGGAGTTGGTTTGCGCAACGGCACGTCGCATTTTCGTATACCTGTGATGCCCAGAGACTCTCATTGCAGGTTTTCAGGAAGTCACGCAGGTCCTTGGTGTGGATGGATGGGTTTATGCACGCTATAACAGCCGCTGAAGGGCTGGTGAACTTCCGGTCAACTTCCCGCGAAAGCCACACAAGTGGCTGTGGGACGAGAGAGAGAGAGAGAGAGATGGCTCTCCACCCTTAGTGATCAGACAGCCAGTGCAAGATGTCGAGTAGGAACAGCAGGGGTCATGTTTTTGAGCAGTTTATGGGGGTTGTCAGAGCTTCCCTTCTGGGGTGAGTTGACAACGGAAAAATAGTGGGGTCAGCGCAAAAAAAAATGCCGCAGGTGCAGACTTCCCACAAGCTGTGGAATCGTCAGGGGCGAGTAGTAGCTTCTGAGCGTCCGTCCAGCACAGGAAATCATGTCAAGAGGTTCGAGTCTCGGCTTCCAGATCAAGGTTTGGTTAGCTTGGTTGGCTTCCTGTGCCTCTTTTGTCCCTGTTCCTTTGTAGTTTCTATTGTTCCTTAGTCGTGATATGGTCGTTCCATGTATTTTAGTAAAGGTTTGTGTGCTGCAGCATGGAACTGCTGACTGAAGGGGTGTCATCCGAAGCATCGATTTGCAGATTTCCTCCTTTCCAAGTGTGCCGCAACCAGGTTACTTCTGGAAGCTAGCTGATGCATGTTTGATCGACTCACAGTGGTTGCCCTCAATTGACAGTGAAAACATCATGCCCAAGTTGCTCAGCATAGATCAAGGGAAAGATATAGTGAGTGCTTTGGATGCACACCCTTGAAGCCGGGCTTGCTTGCCAACAACCGGTGCCCTTTCATTGTTTCTTTTTGCCAACGCTGAGAAGGCATGGTGATTTGGGAAGGTTGCATGGAGAGTATGCGTTTGTTCAGCCGATTTCCTTTGCCGCGGCGGCGACGTCCAACATGCGGAGTCGTGCCGCATTTGCAAAGGGCACAGTTTGTTCCATTATTTTCGTCTCGAAAGGAACTTTCTGCCAATGCAATGTGGCACGACGATGCACTGTAACATTGAAGATTGGAGCTTGTTTTTCTCGGCCAGCTGGAGATAGGAGTCTGAATTTGTCCATTCGACTGAGAGGCAACCTTAGACCCTGGATCTCCGGCTGCGCCGTTTCTGATGTCCAGCCGGCTAGGAGCTGAGTCAAGCTCTTTGCGGAGTGCTACAGCATGTTTCAACGGCAAAAACTCTTCGATAGTTGGCCACTGCTCCCACTCGGACAATGCCAACCCGAAACCCTACCACTTGCGTGACTTTTAGCGGTTTAGCGGGCCAGTTCTGTGGAAGAGTGCGGCGCCCATCAGGGTGTGCTGCCGTGTTTGTAGCTGTCATGCAGATGCAAGGCTGTGCACAGGGGGTCTGGGTGTTCCAAAGCCTGGCCTCTTGGCCTTGCTTCTGGTACAGAGAATCATCTATGCAAATTCAATTGCAGTGATGCGAGTTGGGCAATGCAAATATTTGAAAAGCGTGACAAACCGAAATATTTGCCCCGGAGATGGGCAATTCAGTCGGGGCCAAAAAGAAGATGCTTGACGCAATCCCCGCTTGGAAGCGGTACCCGAAAACTCTCCGGATATTCCAACCTGGCCAATTAATGCATGCGCAGAACCCGCCGAATGGACTCTTTCGTCAGGAGTCGCCGAGCTTCACTTCACGAAAAACACTCCGAGGAGTGTGCGAAGTATTTTCGGACTAGCAGGTCACAATTCACCAAAAGGTGGTTTTCATCCGCCGGCAATGCCCATTGCTGGTGGGCTTGGCAGCCATTGGTACGTGGGCACTGTCTCTGTTGTCACTGAAGGCTCCCATCTTTGGCACGAAAGCGCGGAGCACAGGTTCACAGATCAGAAACCACAACATGTGCCTCACGTTTCTGCTTATTTATCCGCCCAAGGCCGCGGGCCGCTCTCCCCGCTTGGGGAGCCCTTCATGGACAGAAATGAAGTCTGAGTTTCCGCGTTTGCAACAGAGGTGGTTTTAAGACCTCACAAACTCAGCACAGCTCTCCACAATTTGCCATCAGTTCATGGGCCCCATTTGATGCCTGGGAGCAAATGTGAATCTCAGCGCATTCAGTTAATGCTTTGTCAAGTCGACAATTCATGACAGCGAGCGGGCAGCATGCCTCCGCTGAATTCGGCTGAGTGCCCAGTTTTCAGTGTATTTTAGCGTGCTTTGTTTGTGACCTGTGCAGGGTTGGCTGGGCAGCCGGAGAAGCCATGCATTGATTTTTTGACATCAGGCAGACTAATGCGATTCTGCCGTCTACAATGCGCCATTCCTTCGCGAAAGCTGACACAAAATGGGCAACATGCCAAGGGCGGATTGAGCAGAACACCCCATTCGGGTGAAACTGTGAAACATCCCCCGCTTTTTCGCATTGCGGCGGCCTTAGGCCCGCGTCGGCTACAGCTGTGGGACGCTCTTTACGCGATAAATCCCTTGCTGTGCAGAACTTGCTGTGCCAGGAAGGCAAATCTTTCCACCTGGATCAGCGCAATTCCGACGCGGCAGATGGCCTGCTGCTTGGCGATTGTGTGTATTCTACGACCTGTCTCTCGACGCCTTGCAGACCCTGTGCTGAACAAGGCCTGCGCATTGCTTGCCAGTCTTTTGCCAAAAGGGGATTGCTAAGGGATGAGCTAAAACTTTGGCGTGTGTTGACTGTTTGCTCAAGACACCACTCAAGAAGAGGACAACCAAAGAAGCATGCCAATCCCTGTCTGACATTCCACAGGCCGGTGTCCGAAAATGAGGTGCACTGGCAACATGCGCACAAGAGCAGGACAGGCATGAGACATCAATGCCATCAGGTTCACAAGCCCTACAGCCAGACTCCAGACTGAAGCATTCAGCATCTCATAGCATCTCTCTCCTGAAGTGCAGCCCTGCTGCAAGTCTTGGTATGCCCGGCGCTCAGAGGAGCAGTTGCCAGTGTCCAGTTGAGCAGTTGCCGGTCTGCGTAGGTTCAATGGGTACAGCCAGCATGCTGAAAGTATTGAACCGTAACTTCGCGACTGCATGCGCATTCTACGAGAGAGTAGGCTGTCACCCATGGTACTTTGTTGGCACCTGAATGCTCAGGCTCTAAACCACAGACGAGGCTCGTACAGCCGCTCGCTTGCAGATGTCTCCAGCTACTATTTGCTTTAGAAGGCCAACTGGAACGATCATGGATCGTGTGAAATCTAGAGGGTACAATTCGGATCCTATCATGGTGGTGACTGAACGCTTCCGGCTAAAGATATGTATCCAGTTGACAGAGTGATAGATCCTGAGCAGATGGATAATGTGTTGATGTGTTAGATGTGCAAAGGTCTACAATGGAGAGACTTGATGTGGCCAAGACACCCTTTTGCCGCGTAGTTGTAGGGGCGCGCGTTTTAGAGAAAGTGATAGCCGGGACTGTCACCGACCTTGAATGAAGATGAGCAAGTGTTATGATTTCTATCCTATTGAGGGAGTCATGTCGACCCATGGAAATGGAAGTCGGTCGTTGACAGCCACGGCACTTCTGCTTTTGGCTTGGCAACGCGACGGCCGGGTTTCGCCAGATGGCTCATCTGCCTGTTGCTGAAGGCTGGGCGTGGCTGGTGCCTGGACTTGACAAAAACAACGTCCCACAGTTGGCAGTGGGTCAAAACCAATGGGATCCCATTTTGGGGTGGGTGCACCACCCGTTTTAGAACCTATTTCAGTGGGGATTGGGATGTTCACTGGGGGTACGGGCTTTTGACCTATGGCCATTTCATGCGCAAGGGTTGTGTTCCGCGAACGGGACTCAGCACGGTCGGTTCAGGGCGTCCTTGACAAGACCCGAGCCAAGGTTTCATGCGATTCCTGGGCCGCGTTTTGTCTTCGCAGAAGGGAAAGACCCCGCCATGAGTTCGCTGTGTGGCTTCCTTTAAGGGCATCGGTAGGGTTATTCCCACAAAGCCCTGTGATTCCCGAGTGAACAGCAGCAAGTGGTTCACGCTTTGGACTGTTGTCAAGTCATGGATTTCCAGGCGATGATGCTGATGCCCCGCAGATTTATCAGGAAGATTCATGGGCCGTTGACTCAGATAGCCAGAGCATCCAGTTGTCTAGGTTCAGGTGCGCGACTCTCAGACTCTCAGACTCTCAGACTCTCATGTCATGCATTTCAGTTCTGCAGGTCATCATCGACAGTTTCTTCCAGGAGAAGGGGCTGGTCTTCCAGCAATTGGGGTGCGCCCACTCCAAATTTTGAGCCCAAACTTCCCTTCCCCGCATCTGCGTGGCAGCCTGTCTGGCGGCCATGGCCAATGCCTCCAGACTCCCGGAGTTGTGTCTGCTGGATTTCTGTGGGCCAAATCCCATCTCAAGTTTTTGTTGGGTTTGGAAGACTTGGAAGGAGTTACCATCAAAGATTTTTGGTCAAAGACGCTTCTTGCTCAAGTTTTTGGTGAAAGACTTGCACAGTTTCGTACAGCTGCAATTTGCTGTTGCCAGGTCCTTTGATCAGTTTATCGTTTATGAGATGCAGAGAGTGGTTGACGTGCGGGGCCCTGGTCTCGACTTGGCGACACGGTCGTCAGATCAGAGTCACCAAGGCTCAGACGCCCATCGAGTGCAAGCCGCAGGATCAGTACAATCCTGAAGAGAAGGTGGTCACTTGGCTCAAAGAGAGCCCATTGATTTGAACGCCTGGTGGATTAGGAGCTGCCGGTCCAGCTTGAGAGGATCTCTTTCATCCGGCTTTCTGAATCCGGAGCTGATCCCAAATTGTTCAACTTGCCGGGCGCGGTGTAAGATGGCGGCATGTTTACAACTGGTTGGCATGATCTCAGCAGGGCAGTTGGTTTTGTCGTTGCTCCGCTGGCTTCTTTTCTGGGGTTTCTCGGCGGAATTTTCTGCTTCAAGTCTGAACGGGCTGACATCAGATCGCCTAGGCTCGAGCTCATCCCCCTATTTGCCGGCGAGCATACTTTGCAAGAGAAACGGCTCATCACCTCCCCCCGGCGGAAAACTCCACCCTCCGAATTGATGTTAGGACATGTTGAGAAGCAGGTTGCAAATGAGCCATGTTGTCAAAGGCTCAAATGCCTTTTACTGCCAGCCGGCACAAACATCTCAAGGGCTAAGTTTTCTGGAGCTTCTGCTGGTGCTCCTGACAGGCGCCTGCTGAGAAGTTGTTCGCCGTTTTAGGCGGTTATCGCGCCAGAACCGCCTTCGTTCTCGCGGAAGTGGGGGTGACCACCCCCTATGGCTGCCCAGTAGGATTAAGTAGGTCCTGACAACAACTCGGCATGATCGGCCTCGTTTGCTTCCTTGGGTTGTAGTGAATCACTGAAAGCGCCGTAAATTCATCCGTAGGGAGTCGCTGGAACACTGGCTGCTTGTGTTGTGGCTGGTTTTCGAAGGAATTTTATGGCAATCGGAAGGGTTCAATGGTAGATGCCAGAGAATGATTGGATGAAGCCGCGCCGCTGAACTTTACAGCAGGCAACCCGTCAGATTTGGCCTCGAAGGCCCTGACCTCTACGGAGCAAAAACAGCTACCAGCCATCCCCTGAAAACCTCAAGCGTCCTGACAAGCTCAAGCGTGCGGAAAGGACCCTTTCACTTCGAAAAATGTGTGTGCCTGTGGAATGTTTGCCTTAGAATGCCCAGCCCTGCAGTTGCTGCAGTATGCTGCAGTGCAGTCCTTATTTGGCTGTGTTTCGCCAGTGGTTTCGCGGTGGGTTCAACGACCTTCTATGGCACGGGAAACAGTCAGTGTGTTTCAGCCGGCAATGCCATGCATTGGCCACTGATTGAAGATTTGCCAAACGTGTCCGGATGTGAGGCGCACACAATATATCAAAAACATATATGTATATATATATATACATTCTTCCAGCCCCCCTCTTGCAGAAGCTTCTGATACCAGTGATCCGCGTGCCAGCTGAGGACAGCAAAAAGGCAGAGGGCCAAGCATGACGACGCGAGCCGCCAGCGAGTGGGAAGGGTCTGGTTTTCCGGGGCTAAGGGCAGACACGTGCCATCAGTCAGGGAAATCAACTAGCAGGGGGGAATCAGGGATACGGGAGGATTGCCGCTAAATGCACCTTGACTAAGTTTGATATGGGAAATAGCGCCAAGTTGGAATCCCCCCATATCCCCGCTTCCGTATTCCCGCTTGTTCGTTTGTCCAGAGCCACGTCTTTTTCGCAGAAAACAAATGCGAAGGTCTACGTGTGGAAGTTTGGACAGCTCCACTTCAATAAGTCCCAGCCTCAGTCGCCAGCTTCCAAAGATGTCACATTGGACGTCAAACCTGACGAGGGTAGTGGATGGTCAACTATAAAATTGGTGAGGCCTGTTTGGCATGATTTCGGACCGACTGCTCTTTGGGTGTTTCTAAATATGGTGGACCCCTTGTTGGCTGGTAGTTAAAGGGATTTCAAAATGAAACCAGCAATTTTTGGGTGACCCTATCTTGAGGAACACCCATTTCGCTAACAGGCATGCTGGCGCAGGCCGACAGTCGATGAGACCGACGGTACGGCGCGGCAGCTTACTCCGCGAGAGGTGCGCGCTTCAGATTCGTGTTTGCTTTGGAGGCTGAGGCCCACGGAGGCTTCAGGGTATGCAACACCCCGAGTTGTCAGGCTTCTTCGCGCATGGGAAACTGAACATCTGTTCCTGTTCAGCCAAATTTCCAAACTGGGCGGCGCACATAAGGCACAGTGTTCTGCTTGCTGCTGTTTGCATGCTAGGCTCGCACTTAGATTCACAATGAATGGCTCAGAAGTTGGCGAACTTTTCTTGCATGGAGTTGCAAGTTTCAAAAGGAGCATAGGACCATAGGCCGCCCTGGCTGAAAGGTAGCACAAGCAGGTCAGGTTCCAAGAGCTATCCCCAAGAGCTCGGCGTCATTCGGCGTCTAGGTGAAGATTGCCAGCCTTGAGTTGCGCATCCATCCCTCATATGGATTCATGTGGCTCAAAATTAAACGATCGGAGGGGGATAGCAACCGCAGGTTTTGGGCACCCATGTTTAACCACTTACCGATCGGGCAGCCCATTTTGGAGTTCCGTTTTTTTTTTTTTTAACATCCATGGCTCACATCCAGTTCCTGCAGGCCCGCCTGCGGAACTTGTCCTATGCTGCACCGGTCTTTGTGGACATCATCCGGCAGGTGTACCAAGAGAACGCGGCCTGGAGCTTGGCGAAGAGGGCTTTTTTGACTAGTCCCGCACCCTCAAGGTCTCTGAAGCCACAAGTTGCTCATGCGGGTATGGGTCAAAATTGCACCAACAGGGGACCACACACGTTTTAGTCCTTGGTTCCATGTACCAGGGTTCCATTTTGGGCACCTATTTTTGACCCACAGCCATCTTGTAATTTTGTCATGCTGGAAACGTGAAAGATCAAAGCAGCTGATGGAAGGCTGATAAATACTGTTGGGATTTACAGGTCCGTGAATGGCGCGTGATTGTTTGTGTCTGAAGGAGTCTTGCCTATTCTCAGTGAGCAAGATGCGGTGTACCAACGAGCCAATGTGCAGCGTTTAGGTTGGCAAATTATTCCCACTGCTTCTGTGCTGCGTGATGCGTGACAGAAAGAAACATGGGATACGCCCCAAAACTGCCATTCGCCGATCAGATTCAATTCCCGAATGGAGTTAGGACTGCAGCGAAGTACAGAGATCATGAACCTATCAGTGTGCGTAGAAAACCCATGACTGAACCAATGCAACATGAAGGCAAGAGGGAAGGACCTTCACCGAGGATGGCGAAAGGACCTTGACGCAGGAGGACAAGTACTCCAAGGTATTCCTCATGAGGATGCCCATCATGGTCAGGAGAGGGGATGCCAGGTCAGTCAGCGAGACTATCGCAGGTGGCAGAAGCAAGCCGAAGCAAGCTGCGCACTTGTGCACCTGCTCACTGCTGGATTCGTCCACTCTGCAAAGGGCTGGCTGGAGTCTGTTCACTGCCTGTTCTTGAGCTTGCAGATCCGCATGAAGTGTTTGAGCATGAGCAGACTCGACCAAGGGCGAGCGCAAGCCAATACTTTCGCGGCTAAAGAGGTTCTCACACCAACACAGGGGTCTTCCAAATGCCCTCTCCGTTTTGGCTTCAGCCGTGTCGCGTTTTGTTTTCTTCACTTTGCCCATGGCAGGACTGAGTACTGCTGGCTCAAAAACGCCAACGACCGTGCCTTGCTTGCAACAAGGGCTTAGTTGGCAAGATGCTGATCACATGTAACCTGACAATATTCAATAGACATCATGTTTTTACTGAGGGAACACAAGATAGCCTGAAATAGCTCTTGGATCACATGTGCCCCGACTTTTTTCCGTATCACCGGCACTCCTTTAAGCCCGCTTCGTTTGGCTTCCATGGGCCAATGGGTGTGCTTTGACTATTGTCAGTTGGCCTGCGGGAGGCCTCTTGTGAGAGACTCTGGGCGGGGTTAAAATGAAGCTAATGGCCATATTTTTGTTTTTTCGAGTCGTTCTCATCGGCTTGATTCAATTGCTGATTTGCTGGCAATCTCAATGGCTGGTTGAACGGTTCTGTCATTTCATCATCTTTATGTTGAGGTCAGGATTTGAGGATGACTCAGAGCTAGTCCTGTCTTATGGATCGCGGCAGAACATTTTGTGCGTGCAAGGATGGAGTTCTCGTGCACCTGCAGCGCCGGGTTGAAAGTGGTGAAAGTGCAACACTTCTTCGGCACAATGCTAATGGGAGACAGGTGTTGAATCCGACTTCAACTCTTTTGTGTCTCGGGTGGTGTGTCAGGGTTGGACACCTGGGCATCACCTGAGTATGGCTATCCAAGGGGCACAGCCTGGCTGGCCCTTGTTCCGCCGGGTGTATCATCCCGGAAAGCCGCTAATGTCGGGTGCGAGGCCATCAGTTGATTTGGAGCAAATCGCACTGAGCAGATATTTGGCATACCGGCCGGTTGGATGTGTGCAGAGGCTGCATTGCCAATTGGTTCCTGAATGCCAGGGTTCCACAATGAATCACTTAGTTGGTGGCTCCGTGCCTGCTTGACGCTCATTCCCCTTGACCGTCCAAAACGCCAAGGCGTTTTGACAGAATTTGGAGAGTGCGGGAGCCTTAGCATCAGGTGCATCTGCACACTGCGAGCTGTGGTGTGCCTTTCAAACGGACTCGCGACAATTAATTTTGAAACGTCTCAGCTTTCGCTGAAATGTAAATCGATGTATTTGCACAAGTAGTGTTCAAGCTTACCTTAGATAAAGCCACATCACCCATGCTGAAGATCCCTTGGATTTTATATTTCAACGTTGCGAGTTATAGTAATTTGCCAGCATACGCATGAACAATAAAATCATTCTAGATCAATCAAACAAATAATTCGGGATCAAAACAAATTATTCCAGACCATGTGAAGGAGAAGGCGGTTCGCAATTTAGTATCCGGTGCACCGTGGAGCAAACGGCGGTTAGTAAGTCAGCATACGGTGGTTAGTAAGTTAGCAAGTAGCAAGTTAGCAAATTAGCAAGTTAGCAAGTTTCCAAGTTAACTCAGCAAGTTAGCCAGTTAGCAAGTTAGTAGGTTAGCAAGTTAGCAGTTGCTCCAGTTAGTAAGTTAACAAGGTAGACTGGGGGGAGGACCAAGTTAGTGTGGAGGAAAGGGCAGTTGGCGCGGTAGCAGTGCTATTTCTACTACTACTGCTGCTACTACTACTACCACCACCACCACCACTACTACTACTACTACTACTACTACTACTACTACTACTACTACTAGTGCAATAATACTAGTACTACCACTACCACTACCACTACCTCGTACTACTACTACTACTACTACTACTACTACTACTACTACTTCTACTAGTACTACTACTACTACTACTACTACTACTACTACTACTACTACTACTACTACTACTACATCTTTTGCAGCTACTACTACCCGTTTAATTTTTTGTTGATCTTGAATTAATTTGTTATTGATCCCTCAGCCTAGTTTGCCGGCGTAGGTGCATGGCTTGGGAACAAGCCGTTCTCGGCTTGCAGAGGGCACACATACATCGCCAGTTCGCCGTACGCAAGGCCCCAGTCAGGCAGGTTTTCAGATGACCAACTGGCGGTACTACCGTACTCTGGGTCTATATGCTTCATTTGGGGTTGAGACGGCCACACCCCGTGTTTTCGTTGTCTTTCCACACACGCATGGCGCGACGAAACTACAAATGAAGCATTGGTCCGTTGCTCAGATTTGGAATTTGACCCTGTGCCATCAAGAGCTGAAATAAGATAGTTGTTGGCAGGAGCACTGCCCCCAGAAACACCCCACAAAGTGTGCTTGCGCTTTATTTGGCATGATTGCTATTCTTTGAGAGTAGGCAGCACCAGGTGGCTTTTTTTTACCCTGTCGCCAGTTCTCAGTTTGGTGTTCGGAGCTGGTGTATGGTTGAAGGATACCGGCAGAGATATGATCATGTCACCGTGTGGCCGTGGCCGTGTTTGGTTCCTCCTTCAGTTTGGTTAGGGCATAAAGGTTGGACACGTTCTGCCTGGCGAACTCAGCACAAATCATCAAGTGAAGAGGGGCCAACCTGCGTGACCAAGGTCCTCTTGACCAGGGCGGCTACTTTGTCATCAACGGTACCCGTCCCAGAGTGACCAACAGTTCCTTGATAGGAGTTGCTGCTTGAGAGTGGGAGCATACCCTTCACAAGCGATGCCAGTGCCAAGTTGCACTTATGCCAGACTCTGGGTTTGTCTCCCAACTAATTATGGGAATCCGCAGAATGGATGGTCTCCTTTTAGCTTCCCTTAGTGCACCCCCCAAAGGGTACCGTCAAAACTGCACGCCAAAACTGCACGGCGCATGCGGCTCAGGCTCAGAGAAGGTGCTGATTGCCCTGGAGCGGATGGCAAATAACTTTGCCCGGGGCCGAGTTTCGAAGAACTTGTACTTGGCTGCATGCGAAGTGGGGTTGTTTACTCCTTGATCTCGCTTGCCTGCCAAATGATCATGGAGCCAAATGATTGTGTCCGTGGCATTGAGCACACTCGCGCGGGTACCCTCAAAGGTGAACAGGTTGTCAATTTGGCCACCCTGGAAAAGCTTGATTAAGTCTCTTCACTCCTGCAAGGTGCACACTTGTCGCTGCTCGTGATGGAAAGGTGTGATGCGGTGACAAAAGAACATGCGAACTTTCCACTGTTTACTTGGTACGATTCCAGCTACTGGTCTGAGTGAAGTCGTCCTGAGGGGCTGTGATCCAGATCAGAACTTGTTTGATTCAGGTTCAAACCTGCCTGATGGATCTGCTTATTGTAAGATCATTCTGATGACGAGCTCGTGCAAAAAACGCACCTCGATTTCCCGCATGGAGTTTGTGTGATTCAGGTCTATGCCTTTGCCAAGAAGCAACCTTCCAAATATGCAGCGACCTCGGACGTATGGCGCCGCCATGCTTGACTTTGAAGGCTGAAGGCTCTCGCAGGTGCATTGCACGCTGCACACTACTGCAATCAACTCAGCTGGGCAGCAGTACTGTTCCCCCTATGAACATGGAACCTGACGTTCGGTTTTTGGGCCCAGTCCCTTTGAAAGGAAATGGGTCCAAACCAGAGGAAATGGGTCCAAACCAGGACCGATTCCCCAGACGTCGAAGGGTTCCGGCTGTGAAAAAGGTGGGACTGTCCGCTTAAGGCCTGGGTCTGCGAGATCCGGTCATCGCTTTTCGAGGGCTCGGCGGCGACCTCGATGGCAGATTTTCGATTGAGGACCTGAAGGAATTTCGGACCGAAAAGGGTCGAATTCGACGGTGGTTCCCAGTTATCCCCTGGTTCTTAGCTTTTTCGTGGTTCGTGGAAATTTCCGTTTAGCAAACGAAAAGTGGCCTAGATTCGATGGTTTGCTGTTGAAACCATCAGATGGGCAATCCTGGGAGTTGCTTGTCATGGGTCGTTCAAGTTGACGGCTGAGTGTTCCAGCCCTTGTCCTCTAGATGGAACGATCCGTGAAAGGACGTGTAGCGCCTGTGAATCGTTGAGACTGCGTCCAAGAACCAGAGTTTGATTGATTGAATTGGGCAGAGGGATAGGATCCAAGACCAAGCTAGTTGCGGGGGGGGGGGTCTGAAGTCGGTCCCTACATGCTGAAGTCCAGAGATTCTGAATAGAATTTATGGGTAATTGCTCTGATTCTGCATCATAGCTGGGAGGTCAATAGAATGCTGTGTACGTTCGTGTCATTTTCTTTAAAAGAAACAAAACAATTGCAAGTAAGACATTTTAGATGCGTGTGCCTCTGAAAATTCGGTGAATAATTCAAGCTGAACAAGTAATGAAGCCAAGATCATGTTGTCATGGCGACACTTTTCGTTGAGCAGGTTTAGGGCACAAATCACTGCCATGTCAAACAAGCCTAACTCGGGCTCACGGGTTGCTGAGGCCGGGAACTCTGGCTTTGCCGTGAAGCTGCTCACAAACATGGGCCTTCCTGGCATGTGTTTTTGGGGCAAAGGGAGAGGGCCTTGGATCTTGTAAGCTGAGACATTGGTTCGCCATCCGTGGACAAGTGCGGCACTTTTGGGATGGTGACCACCAAGTTGCACCTCACAAACTGAGCGGAGGATTTGCATCGGATGCTGCTGGCAGGATCCAAGTCCTATTGTCGAGGGCAGCTGGTTTGCACTTGCACGGTGCTCGGATGGGGGCAAATGGAAGTTGCAAGGATCGTAGCGATTTGAGTCACCGGTTGAGAGAACTTGGGAATTGAGTCCAACGCTAGTAGCGTGCCTCTGGTTGCCTTTCGATCCATGTTCAGTGAACTGAGAGCTCTGACAGATGCAGATTGTCTCTGATCAGATGCTTGACGAGAGGATTTCTTCTCGCCCGCACATTTTCCGGGCAGCCAAGAAAAGCCACCCAAAAAAGGGGGAGAAGCAACCAGTACGCGTCGTTTGCTTGTTTTGTTTATTGGTTCTAGATTGTTTTTCTTCAGGGAGCGGATCGATCTGAGGTCCCTACATCCGGACGGAGATTCCCTTGGTCATCATGTTTCGGGCCTTGGGCATCGTGGCCGATAGGGACATCTTGGAGCGCATCGTGCCCTGCCGGCGGAAGTTTCGAATCCGATCCAATGGGTCCAATGGGTCCAATGGGTCCAATGGGTCCAATGGGTCCAATGGCCGGGAACTTGCGACGAGTTGACAGTGCTTGTTGGAGAAAGGAGCTCAGAGGCTAGCACCTAGAATTTAAAGCTTCTACGCTTGCCTCAGGATTCAAAATATGTCTTTCCACGTGGTTTGCACTGTTTGATCACCGAAACACTGCTTGAAGTGTCTGTTTTGGCTGACCCCCAAAATAGATATTGTATGTATATGTTATCTATTTCAATGTTCAGTTCACCGAACAGAGTGTGGTGCCAGGTTTGACATGAGCGACTTCGCCATGCTCAATGCGTGCCGCCTGTCCATCGAGGACTCGATGTGTGCTTCAGGGCCACAAGACAAGTATCCATGGAGCCGATTGCGGCTGCCACCTTGGATAATCTATGTGTTTGCTGCATGGACCTGAATTTCAAGTTAGAACTGCTTCACATAGGCATGCTTGCAGAACGGGGTGGGTGCGGGGCCCACTTGTGTGAGGTCCCCGCAGGTCTCCCATTGGGGGACACTGGTTCACACTGATTCCTACATAATATGTTGTATGTATTGCACATACATATATTATTTATTTTATGATATATGGGTGCGTGTATGATGATTCTTCCTTGTCCGTTTGTTCTTCGTCAACAATGTAATATTCGGGCGTTGGCACTTGTTTGTGCACGCGAGGTCGCGCCTCTGGCTTTTTCCCTGGCATTTGATTGCTTGCGGGTGCAACCGGCGTATGCCTCATGCAGTAACAGTATAGCCAGGACTTGTTTATATGTCATTGTGTTTTCTGGAGGTGCTAGCTGGGATGCTGTTGAGCTTTAGTTTGAGCGGGACGTGGGAGAATGATGCACTGATTGCTGGCAACCAAGACAATGCCACCCGATCATTACAGCATGCAGCTATCAAGATCTACCAAGAGAATCCCGAGATTTCTACCAGCCATCCCCTGGTCTTTACAAGGAACCCCTGGGGACCGCTAGCCTTTCCACCGCAAAGCATTGCATTCGCAGGATGCCGCACCGATCTCCACACAGGAGATGGCTACGCACTCAGAACACTTGGGACAGGGTGGCTTTTTCTCCCCAACCCCCCCAAACCCCCAAATCCCCCACCCCCCAAACCCAGCTTTAACAGGGCCTTTTGGAAGCCTCCCAAAGCCGCATTTCTGCACTTCACCTCTGCGTGAGTGCCCAAGGGTGCACAGGCAGCCGCTTTTGCGGCCGCGTGCAAGCACGCCGCGCGTCCAGGCGTTGGACTACATCGCAAAGCACGGCACTCAGCCTTGAGACCAGTGACCCATGCGAGTGAAGCAACGTGGCTGCGTCAAGATTTGATGTTGCTCTCCAATTGTCTGTCCAAGTTTTGCGGCCCCAACGCAAATGGCCTCTGTGATTTCTATCGGCCACCAAGATGGGAACCTCCTGAATCTTAGCTGGATCTCTTAGATACTTGAGAGAAATGGCCTTGCTTTGGAGGAACTTCAATGTTAGGTCCAAAAGCGACCACAAATTCTTCGTCCGCCCCACGACAGGCGTGGCCCAACCATGGGCGCCACCAAAGATGTGCGTGTCCAGCCGCGTGCTGAGAGGGCTGATTTCCACTCGCAGTTCTTGCGCACACCCTGCTTAAAAGCCGGGGTTGGACCTCTTTCGGGAGATCAACCACCCCTGCGCTTAAGTCCATCTGACGCAACAAACAAGGGAAAGCCAACATGAGATCAACCATGCAGACGTCCAGATCATGTTGAAAAAAATGTCATACTGACTGAGTTTCAGAGCAGTGAATGCCACAGTTGAGCAACAGGTATGCGCGGGAGCTACTCCAAAAGGAGCTGTTGCCGCACATTGGCAGGACCGGTGCATGAGCGGTGCGTTTGGCGTTTCTGGATTCTGTCAGGACGCGCAACATCGAGGGCCGCAAGTCCTACTTTATCGGTTACATGACGAACCGACTTTTGCTCGGCCAGAAGCCCAGCGACTGGACGCCTTTGACCTTTATTCGTAGGGCGAGGCTGCCAAAGAGTCGGGAATCAGGGAAACACCAGTTGGAGGCCAGGATTTCCATAGCCCATGCAGGCCTTTGCGGGGAAAATTGCATCCACGCCAGGATCGGCAGCATGTTCCGGGATTTCTTGGGCTGTAAAAAAAGCTCCCCGCCAAACTCTTATCCTTCGCAAACCTTCAGGAACGATGGAGGCGAACAAAAAGAAAGAAAGACGATACGTATGTTAGGAACTGGAGCTGGAGCTACAGAAGCGTACTTGGCGTGCTATACTTGTACTGCAAAGATGCGATTTCCAAGCTGGAGCTGCGGAACTGTACTTCGGGTACTTCGCTTGTGCTACAATGCGGAGAGCTGCGGAAGCGTACCTCGCGTGCTACTCTTGTACTACAAAATTGCGATTTCGAGCTGGAGCTGTGGAAGTTTACTTCACGTCGTACCCTCGCGCTGCAAAGTTGCGACTTCTGGGCTGGAGCTGCCAAAGTGTCTACAGACTTGTACTGAAACTAGCAGCATGCGTAGAATCCCACGAAACCTCTAGGAACAACCGAGTCGACAATTAAACGTGGATACAATTCACTCATATAGATAAATAGCTTGACCTGCTGCTTGAAAGAAGTGGCTTCTTCCTGCCCCATGAACGGCAACAACCAATCACGCCAAGCCCTCTTGAAAGCCCGGGAACATCGGCAAGTTCCCGCGATTGTCTCCGCGAGCCGAAGGCTTCTTGGGCCGCAACCCCGAAGATGATCGGGACCACTTTGGCAAGAAGCGGCGACTCGGACAAATTCAGGTCGGTAGTTGCTTTTGCAAAAAGTCCTTTGGGGGGAGCTATTTGCCATGATTTGCCCCCAAACTCCAGGATCCACTCTATAATATGATAGTATGGCACTGCCCTGTATATCGACCATGGGTTTATGAATCATGGGTCAGCATGGTTCTCGTGGAAGGAATCTCGGGCTTGAACGCGCTAATATGGGGGTAGGCGGATGAAGTTGCCGTTTTGCAAGGACATGAGGTTTGGGCAAAATAGCCAGGAGTCTACGGTCAATGTGGGAGGGATATGGCGGGACTCTCTAAATTGTGCAAACCAACCGGAGGACTTTCCCATGTGCACTACAGGAACGGAGGCATACTTTGACGGTGAGCGCATGGGAAAACGCAACCTGAACCTCGGATGTCACCACTGAGGATTTCTATTGTCTATCTTTGAGGCCCCAGTTGCTTTGACACTTTGATTCTGACCGGTTGTCCTGAGATGGCTTGTGGCATTCTGGGCCCAGCGAGTCAGAAGCAAGCAACTCGGGAGCCGGGGTCCGGCTGAAAGCCGTGGTGGACAGTCCAGGAGCACTTGTGCCTGGCCTTGTTCATACCCATTTCCCTGCTTCCAACCCACTGCACAATACCGAAGAGGCGAGTCAACATGTGTCAACAGGGTCTGTACAAACACCCCTGGAGAGAGGCACTGACCCACTGAGACTAGGCATGGAAGGGTTTTGCATGACCAACGATATTGGGTGATATGGGAGTGCCCAGTGAAGCAGTTTTTGTTTTGCTCGCTGAAAATGTTCTGCCAGCAATAAAATCCTTGTGTTGGATATTCGGTTCTGGTTTGGTACGTGAAATGCTCAGCCCCTCGGATCCAATGAGCTCAGGATTGACTTGGCAGGCGCGCTGGCGGCTGCCTCAGGGTAAAAGTCTTGGGGTCAGGACGGCGCTTTTCCAGATTCGACATGTTGTCTCCTCAGGCCTCAGAAAAGTATGCCACAGTTTATGAAATGACTAATATGAGACTCAGCAGAACAGAGATTTTACTGCTTCTGTGTTCCCCGGATGTGGGCCAAGGGACCCCTCATGACGCAACACATTTCTGGATGCATTGAGAACTTGGGCCGCTGGTGGGCGAGTTCTTCAGGGGGCGACGTTGAGAGGGTCAGCCACATGCGCGGCCAAACAGGTTCTTGACGCGGCGAGGAGTCATCCATTCCCTGGTTGAGCTCAAGCTTGTCTGAGGTGTCTGCTTCCTTCACCGGGCTCTGGCGAAAGAGCATCAAGGCCTTCCTGTGGTGCAAGGGGAAGTCCCAGTTAGGTTTGTTTGTGTAGCCTGCCTTGGAAAATGCGTGGTCCCATATGCCAAACCAATCCCCCCAACCAGATGGAAAGCAGAGCACCCTGGTTCCAACCATACGCATGCGTGCGGCTGTGAGAGGACGGCCTGTTTTTTTTTTTTCATGGGTGTTGGCCTTGATTGCAGGTGTTCGACTCAGGGACATTCTCAGGTAGACCTGAGCATTGAACCCTGCTGTTGCGGCCTAGATGAAGACCATGGCTAAGGGTTGCCACATCCCGAGATGAAGACCATGGCTCAAGGATCAAAATGGATCAGATGTGTATTCCAACCGCATCCTTTGAGAGGTCCCACATTCTACCGGTTTCGTGCCCGAGAAATCAGATCATCAGGGTCCATTGGAGATGCTTGCAGTCACAAGGGTGTGTCTTTGTTTTCAGGGTTACGTCTTTGAATTTTGTTTGAAGTGACAAGAAAAACTTCATGGTCGTTGGGAAGCATTTTACATGATTGATTATTGTGGTTTAGTGGGAAATCCCCACTTGACTGCTAAACCTTAAATTTTTGCTCCCCTTCCAACCAAGAAAAGGCGACCACGCTTTGCATTGGTCCCACTTAGCGAGAGACACGCCCGAAAGGAGGGATGCGAGCTGCAGGATCTTAGAAAGCTCTTGCAGCGACAGCTCGACAAGGGCAAGATCCCAGATATCGTGGAGTGCGTGAAGCAGGCACCGTCTCATTCAGGAAATTGTAGGGATCAGCCGAATATCCTCAGTTGAGAAACAATCAAAGCCCGGGAAGATTAAGGTTAATATTTGATAATCCCAACCAGAAATGGGTGCAGCCGCCTGAGACATTCTTTACATGGTTCTGGGTAGGCCATGTTAATACTACGTGTTGATTCTGTCTCAGTTGTCTTTGTGAAGTTCTGCTGTCCTTGTTCAGTCATGGTCTCAGATAGTGCCTTTCTTTCTGGGGTCACACAAGCACCTCCCGCATGAATCTGAGAGTCGCAGCCTCCAGCAGCCTCCAGCAGCTCCGGCTCGGCCAGGCATCCTGCCTGAGCCAAGGCATGAAGTATCAGTTCGCCACCGGCAACTGGGGTCAGGACCGACATGCGAGGAACCGCATGCGAGGGACCGCGCGCATGAGCGAAATGAAATTGGTGCCCTCAGTGAACCAGGACAAAGCGGGGAAGCCAGCGGGTCTCTCAGCTGCTTGGAAAATGGGGCGTCCGCAGCCTGGCCGTAAGGTCCTACTGCCTGCTTAGGGGTGAGGCCCTACATAACACTCAAAAACCAATAGGACACGTCATTGTAATGTCTCCATAGGCGAGGGTCTAGCTGCAACATTGGCAAGCTGGCTGGTCTTCAGAGGGAGTGAACCCAGCAATCACGCCACTGGTTCCCTCAGCGCATGGTCAAAACCATTCCTGAATTCGAGCAAACGTTCCCCGCCGAGAACAAGCAAGAGGGTGGCCTCACAAAACAGTTGGTATCCTTTTCCCTTCAGCAGCAACAAGTCCGCATTTGTTCCGTACGCCTCTCGCTAGTTGATGTGTGAAGGTAGCAGTTAGAGACCCGGGATTTATGTCCACCAACCATTTGTTGAGGCGATTCCCAACGCACCACTAGTTAGTTGGTTGCCGTTCCAGCGGCCCCTTCCGGCCCCATGGAACCTTCTGAACAAGAACCGCCCATCCACTCTGGCTCAGGTGCGCACAGGCATCTCTCAGGGTCTGAACCGCCTGACCTTCATGGCCACACTCTCCCACCTGAGGCGAGCGCTCTCGGCGCGCTCGGCGCGCTTCGATCCGCCTCGCGTAGCGCTTCGGCGTGCCGAGGGAACATCCATCTCCGTTGCGATGGGAAGTTATCTCCGACTCACCCATCAAGCCTTGACTGCTATTGGGTTGGATCTTTAGACTTTAACTTTTTGGGAAATGATGGTGTTTCCCCCCTAAACCCCCAAAAAGCTGTCCACTTTTTGCACGGGGGTCAACAGCAACCAAGAAGCTGTGAGGAGGAAAGGGTGCTGACCTGTTTGGGTCGCATCTTTGCTTGCAGAGCACCAGGGTGGGGCCAGCAGGACATGCTTAGATTGTTGAAACCTTGTTCAAGCATCCTCATGCAGGTATTCTTCTACAAGAAACCAAGGTCTTCGTGCTTAACCAAGTTTTGCCTAGCCCGGAGGTGGGGGTAACCATGGTAAGCCTCTAATTCCATGTTTGTTTCCGCTAGTTTAGTCGAATGGAACTTGGGGATCCCCTGGTCCTTCATTTGGGCGGGGCCAGAGTGTGGATCCTGGCCAACATTCCTCTAGGGGTACCTTCCCCATTCTTTCCAGGGATCCTTCATCTAGAAAACCTCCAAAACTCCAGGGAAAACGGCTGGTTTTTGGGAAGAACGATGGTTGAAAAGAATGGGGAATGAACCCCTAGAATTACACCAAGGTATTTGGATGGAGTTCCAAGTTGTTGCACATACCCATAGTTGCACATACCCATAATGCCGTCGAAAATGGTGGGTAGACATGAATCTCCATATTCATGACACTCCACCAAAGGGTTCCCCAATAGAATTCATCTCCAACGGGGAAGATAAACATCGGCTTTCACTTCCCTTTCAACCCCGCAAAGGGAGCCATACTGCCCATGGATGTGTCTTCCAGGCGGATGATTACGCCCCTGTCTCGCTCCGGCAAGTTGGTGAAGCCAAGGCCGGGGCAAGGACCATCGGTTCAGCGCTCTGAATCGATTTGTGTTGGATCAAACGGTACAATTCCATGTTGCCATGTCTCCGGGGTTTCCATTGAGGGGAAGCCACTTTTTTTTGCCTTCAACCGCAAACCAGCAGCGAGTCATGCCACTTGCCAGCAGCTCTCAAGATTACGCTTCACACTCTTGGTGACCAACTCACTACCCAAGGCACGCGCAGCTGTCAAGGGCGCACCCTGCACCGCTGGTGACCAACAAATCAAGCAGGGCATGCGAAGCTTTTCTCTTGTGATTTTGAGAAGACCACGTTCGCTCGTTGCAGTTTCCTTTTTCAATTTCCAGATTGTATTCGCTCCAACTGCAACGGTGCACTGTTTGGGCGGGCAACGCAATTGCCAAGTTTTTTTTGTTTGCATCGGGCCTGTTGAGTGACATGCTTGGCCTTTCTGGTGTGCAAAGTGTCCATATTCTTACTTCCTGAGTTCATGAACTTTGAACTTTTTGGTAAGACCATTTTAGTGGTAAATATAAAGTTTGGACTTTTGTTGGGCCATCCACTCAGCCAGTGAGTAGGACGGCTTGCGGTGCTGCTACATTGATCATCGATGTGGCTGCCGGAATTGTTCTGGCGGTTTGAAGGTGTGGATTTGTTCCCACCATACTGCCTTGTACTCCCGGTGCTGCTGTCAGTTGTTCGGGCTGTTGAGATCATCATGGATCATGATTGTTTGATTGTATGCCATGTGTTGGACCTGATGGCAGGGTTGAGACTAGATGTGGCCCGCCAACATGGTGCGCATGTTTGGTAGGTAGCATATTATTCTTTTGCACTTGGCTTGCTTGTTTCACGCGTTGTCTTTCGATTCCCAAGGGTCACAGTTTATCAGGTGCAGAAGATATCCTTGGGTCACAGTTTACCAGGTGCGGAAGATAGCCCCCACTCACCTTGCATACGAACCAAGACACATTCTAGCCGGAAAACAACAAATATCCCTTCCCGAACTTCGCAATTCCATAAAATTAGTTTTGACATTGATCTATGGGTCCCCAACTTCAAAGGCGTCCATTGTAGCCGCCTAACGACTGAGGCAGCTCCACAACACCCACTGGGGCCTTGTGTGTCCTGCAGAGACGCCGGAAGGGCAGGCGAGGTGGTGTTTCCTGGGGGAGATCCAGTGGTCCCTAAATATTCTCCGTTTGGCGGGTTGGACCGTCATTGCTTGGGCATTGAGTTCTTCAGACGTAAAACACTTCAAAGGGGAGGCAGTGGGAACGTGATCCAATTCCCTTAGGCATCTGAAATCTCCTGAAACACCTGAAACACCTTGCAAACAAGTCCGGAAGTTCGGAGATTTCGCAAATCGGAGGAAGTCTTGGAATGGTTTTTGGGCAGACAGCGAGAGAGGTGATGTAAGTTGTAAGGCAGGCAGGCTTTTTCCAGAAGGCCAACCTTCCAGCCTTCTGAAACGCGGTCACCGCCATACAGCAGCGGCTTTGCCTTCAAATGTCCAGTGGAAGATACCTCCTTCACGCAATCATTGGCTAGAATGTGTTTTACTCAGTATGTGCTAAAGCATTCCCGCCAACAGTTGCAGTTGTTGCCGTTGATGTGACTGCTAAGTTTGTTTTTTCCGCATGTGAACCTTTACCTTCCCAGCGATTTCGTGAGTTTCAGCAAGGAGGTTCGCCAATTGTGGAAGCTGCATGGCCATGCAAAGCATACATCACAGGGCGCAAAGCTCCGAATAGCAGGACGACAAGGGACCGCCCCCCAACATAACAGGGTCCCTTTGTGGGTATGTACCAAAAAACCAATCCATCAATTGAGCATGGCCTTGAATCTACTTTACTGGGCGACGCATGGCGACGCTAGCCCTGGCCCAAGTTTCCTCCCAGAAATCACGTGCCTGCCTGCCTGGCAGTCTATCCGCCTGCCTGTTACACTATTAGTTTGTTTGTGTGTGTGTGTTTTCCTGCCTGCCTGTTTGTCCGTCCGTTGTGCTGAAAGTCACAAAGGTGCCCTGCAGTTTGCTCCTCCGCCTCATCAACAGTTGGGAGAGTTGTGCAAAAGCAGTACTTGAAGAGCGCCCTCGAGTTTACGGCTGACTTGCGTCTTGAGCAAAGCACACTTGCCAGAGGCTTCCTCTTTTAGACCATGTGTTTTGTTGTAATCTGCCGATGGCCATGCGGGGGAGCAGCGCCAGGCAGTGGGGCTTGTGAAGAACATCTCTTTAATGCCACGGGCTCGGTGCAATGCTTGCTCTCAGGTGTGAAGTGGTGCCTCAACTCAAGTTTTTTGCCTTCTCTGTGTGTGTGTGTAGGTTTCAGGTTTCCTTCATTTCCCAGAGACAAGTCTGGGCAAGTGAACAAATTTGCCCCAAGCCCACGAAGAAATGTCGATTTTTGTTAGGCCCTCGCCCGTTGCTTTGTGTCGCTGAGGGGGATGAAGCTTTGAACATAGCAAGCTCGTTTGCTGCACGTGTCATGTGCTTTGCTGCACCGGGCGCTGGATGCTTCGCCCACCAGCAGACCCCGTCCACATACCACCGAATTGTATGTGGGGTTCTGTAGGGACCGGACAGTTTCGGTTGTCCCCTGATGCACAGCACAGTCATATCCTTGGAGAAGTTGTCGTTTCAAAGACGTGTCAGGCGTCCAAGTATTGACTTGAGGTGCTGGATTACGCTGGGGTCAGCCTGCAACCTAGATGGAGAGTCCAGACGGGGAACTGTGATACCAAGGAACTTGTCCACAACCATTTCTCGATTCCAAGAGGGCTGATCGGCTTGAACCCTTACCAGACATGCACACACGCACACACAAGCACGCTTGCGCACATGGGTCTACACAAACCACAAGCGAGAGAGACACAGAGACACACAGAGATACTTGGATAACGCAGAGGCACAGAAAGACACCCGGACACAAACAGGCACGGAGACAAGCAGAGACACAGACTCAGACACACTCGCACAGACAGGTACATACACAGAGGCATATGCACGTTCGCGCGCACACGGACACACACACACACACAACCAAGCAGCAGCTTCCTGGAAACGGAGTTGTTTGCGTTTTCAGGAATGAGTGACATTGCAAGTGTTGCTATGTTGGCCTTTTGCACTTCCATGTATCAGTTCAACATCTAAAGCTTGTCAGCGTTCGGGCCGAAAAGAAAAGAGTGACATTTCAAGCTGACGCACAATGATGCTGACAACACAGCTGCGGCTGACTGGTACTTTCTGGAAAGATCAAAAGATTGACCCTTGGCTCTGGAGTTGTTTGAAGCTTAACTTTAAGGAGCCCTGACTGCAGATAAGAAGCCAGATGTCGAAAATCCTTTTCTCGCACAAAGGAAGTCTCCCGCTGATTAGGGCTATAATTTGAGCGACATGTTTAGCTTCTTTCGGTGGAGGGGAAGGGAATGAGGCCCAGACCATCATTGAGGACTTCCTGGATGAGTGGGGCGTGTGGATCTCGGCTTGCCCGATCGGCCTATCCCGGGCTCGCAGTCGCGGCGAATCTGACTGCGAGGTCCGGAATCAACCTGGAGCGTCCTTCGTTACCTAAACTTCTGCCCTGAGCCCAAACGTAGTGCAACACCAAGCTGGGTCGTCACCAAAATATGGTAAACGTACGCATTTCCCTGTTTCGAGCGTTTCTCCCAAACCCGGGCTGGTCAGTCCTCCAAGATGATCGGGTGCTGAAAGGAGAGCGCAAAACTCGAAGTGCAAAACGAGCAGCAAAACCAGTGCATATATCCGCAAACGATCACAAATATGAAACACACAGCAATTGTTGCCTTCCTCCGAGCAGATTGGAACCCTAATAAGTGGGAACATGGACCAAAACCTGCGGTTTTCCCCTCCTGTTTAATTTTGAGCCAATTTTGTGTTTCAATGGGTGCTCCAAGAATGTCCATGTCATATGCTTAGTCGGTTGGCCTCAGGTCCTGGACTTGATGGAGTGCACTCCGGAGCACATCAAGACCTACTCCAAGGCCGCACTGGTAAAGGTAAATGAGTAGAACCAATCTGCAACCAGTGCCTTCGATTTCAACCCAAATTGAGCTAAGAAGGCCACCTATGCCACTGACATTCCTCGATTTGGATCTCTTTTTTGAGGTGGCCTCAACTGCAAAAACCCAAACTGCCGCGCTTTTACTTTGCGGCAGAAGTCTCTGGTGCTTTTCAACCAAAACCAACCATCTATTCTCAGAAAAAGAAAAAAAAAACGCAAGTTTTAGTCCTTGCTTCCATTTACAGCACTTCCATTTGGGATACCTTGGTTAGGTTAGGCTTCCTTTTGACCCATTGAATGTGGTTAGGTGTCCTTTGGTTTCCCTTTTCAGGATCTGTATTTGTCTACCCTTGCGCCAAGGAGTTCGGAACACACAGCGGCCAGGATTGAAAGCTTACAGCTCGGCTGAGGGAAGTCTGTCCAAAACAGCTGGTGTTTAAAGTAATTCACGTAGTTGTGTTTGTGTGAGTCCCCTCCAATCAGAGGGTTTGATGTAAGACTTCTTTAAACATGACACTGCCCGCTTTCGGGAATGTTGAATGGAGAAAGGCATATTCTGAACATGGAGACCTATGCAAAAGCGCAAGGTGTTTTGGGGGTTCCCCTGAAAATTATCCAAATGATCGGGATCCCACTGGTCACATCAATTTGAGGACAATCACTCTGCTGGTTGTCAAGTCTACGGACCTTTTTCACACCGCTTTTGGCACAAAGTGTCACCAGGTTGTTCCGAACTCCGCCAGGTCTTCTTGAACGGCATTTGGCAGCTTTGGCTGCATGTGGTCGCTTCATCGGCTGAAGACATGTGGGTGGGATTCCTTTGGAGGGTACCCTTCGGGTGGTTTCTCAAAAGGACTAAAAGGACTCCACCGACTTTGTGCGGGGATTCTCCCATGTAGATGATCCCGTGTTGCTGGTACCAAGCTGCGCTTACCCCGTGAATAAGGGTCTATGAGATACCCTGAGATACCTGTTTAGCTGTGCCTTCATGTTTGGCTGTGAGGAAGTTTAAGCTTCTTCCGGGGAGTTGGTAAAGGGTTCAGCTTGCGCGGAAGCTGAGGATGGGAATGCACAGAAATCCAGCAGAGTTGAGGACGGGCAAGCTGGGTGGATTCCTCAACGACGCCACATTGCTTTTGTTGCTGCCAGCCGACGTTGGAAGTCTGACACTTCCTGCAGCTAGCATATCAGAGTGGAGGCAAAGTAGCATATCGGAAGGGCGAGGTGCGTCCCTTCTTGGAAGGCACTGAACCCGTCAATCCATTCTCAAAGTGGGACCCTACATGATTGAAGTAAAACAACCCCTGACTTTGGCCCGGGAACAGTCAAAATCCAGGGCTCGGTGTCAGGAACACGCTCCAGAGCCTGCGGCGAAGGAAAGACATCGACTCAGAGGCGCGAGTGAAAAGTAAAAAAAACGTGTCACAGGTGGAGGAAGGTCGCCATGTTTGGTCTTGCCCGCGAGTCGTTTTTCAGAGACTTGGCTGTGGGTCAAAAATGGGTGCCCTAAATAGAGCCCTGGTAAATGGAACCAAGGACTAAAACCTGCGGTCAATATCCTGGTGGTTTAATTTTGACCCATACCCACTTTGCAACCCGGTTGGCCAACAGAATCCGGAGTGAAGACAGAGTATGGCTCTGGGTGCTTGCCGAGCTTGCCCCCAGGTTTCCATCCAGCAGGATCTGAAGAACAACGAGATTCGGATTGCTTCCGACTGCGGTAGGTGCGCCGCTTCCCGTTGCTTTTTTGCAAGAGCGCTCGCATGCTCGTGGCTGCAGGTGTTGCAGTGTTTGTGTTTGTGTGTATGTGTGTGTGTGTGTGTGCGTGTCAAAATGGGAGGGGGGGACCCGATCTCGGGGTTCCTTTTTGAGTTCTTTTCGGTTTTATCTCAAAAGCGTACCCTCAAAAGTCCTTGGCTGCCACAAAAAAAACGCTGCAGTTGCGAGTGAAGGTGTTCTCGTCCGCTCTACATTGTGGATTACAAGCAGCAGGAGGTGCTGATCAACGGGCATCATGCTCCTTGGGTTTGGAATAACGCATGCCTCATCAGCGTTCCTCAAAAAAGTGGGCAGCCCATACTGGTGTCGTTTTGTTTCCCTTCAAACAAGCACCACCCAAACGGAGTCCGAATTTCTTCAAGGAGAAGTACCCGGATGCGAGCATGTGACTGTTGCTTGGCAAGCCCTTCTCAGGTTGAGAAGGTCAAGAACGGCGAGTGGGAATGGGGCACCCTCATGCGTTTGAAGCTCAGAATACTCACTCTTTCAGCTTGTGTGTGTGTGTGTGTGCGTGTGTGGGAGTCCGCGAATTGACCACGCCTTTCTTCGAATGTGACATTTTCCGCTTACAATTTGTAGTTGATGGTTTCCAAACCAGGAATGAGGGAATGAACCCTATAAACCATCCAACTGGTGGTTTCCTTTAAGGGGACCAAAGCCTGGGTTCATTCCAACATTCCCTACCCATCGCACCTGAAAGTTACTGTATTTGGAAGCTTTTTCTGAATTGCAGCTCGAGGTGAAGGACTCATTGAGTATCTCGATGCCGAAGAGGAGGAGTGCTCCATGGTGGCGATGTTCATCCACGACTTGGCCTGGGACCCACACTTCGAACCCCCTCTCACACCGGTTCGGCGTCAAATCGAGACGACTGGCCCATGAACGTGTTTCTCATTATCGGCATCTGCTACAACGGTTGGTGTCCTTCATTTTGAGAAACTCCCGTTGGAGCAGAGTTGTTTTTGCTGTATGTTCGCTTAGTATTCGGGGGGAACTCACTTTTTATGCCACGGAGGTAGGTAATTCTGGTGGAGACAACGATTGCGTAAGGAGGTTCACGAAGATCCTGCGAAGGCAGGTTCGCGTAGGCATGTGTTGCCTTACACAAACCTAAGAAATCTTAAGAGCGGTGCCCGGGAAATGAGGCACGTCGGCGGTTGTTGCCCTTCCATGGTTTTACACGCCGGCGGGGATACATGTAGGCATAGCTGTCAGTGTGTACGGCCCATACACTCATTTGTGGAATATAGTCGTGCTGCAGTGGTCGCAAAAAAAAGGGGAATCCTTAATGGTATCCATTCGAAATCACTTATTTTATAGGGCAGCCTCAAAGGCTGAAACACCCAAGTGGCTTGAACAAAGGCAGGCGACAGCGTGCCTTATGTCGTTCGTGTCTCAAGTTTCAAGACGGCTTGGCTCAGGATTCAGCTTGCTTGGCACTCATGACATGTCCAGGGATCCAAACAGGCTGCATCACGCCTCATCCGCAATGGCTTCAAGGCCATCTCAAGGAAGAGTCTTCAATACGTGATCCCACTGATCCTTCAATCAAATCCAAGCTATGCGCTTTGAGGTGAAGACCAAAGCATACTGCAAGCACTCCTGCCCTGTGATTGCCGCCCACGGGCTGGAACTTGGCAGAGTGAGTGGCTGCATTCCACAGTTGAACGCGGCAATTGTCTGCTTGGACTGCGTTTTTGTGTGGATGGGGGATGGCGCGGTCAGTTGACAAGAGGAGCCATGGAGAAGTGACCTTGCCTTATGTTTGCTGGTGACGCGTGGGCCAGGACCTATACTCATGCGGAGATTCATCCTGCCATGATTTTCGGCATCTGCGTCCGGCCCCCGGGAGCCATTAGGCCCTTGAAACAGCGAGGGTCATGAGCACTCTCACAGTCTCCGTGTTGCTGCCAAGGGCTTTCTGAATTTTCGCCGGTGAGAAGAAATGATGGGCGGTTTCTCAAACTTTCGCGCATCAGATCAGGCCACTGCCTTCAGACACTTTGCTTCTCTCGCACCTCCTTCGCTTGCTGCCAGGTTTGGTTAGAGAGGGAAGAGACAGGGTGTGCAACAGGAGAAAAGATTAAAGCTACGCCGACCTGGGAAGAGCCTTCAATCTCATGGTAACCCTGAGATTGGATTTGGTCCATGTAGAAAAACAAACAAGACACGTCAACGAGTAAGAAAGAACATGTTGGTGTTCCGCTGTGGACTTGCGAGGCATCCATCATCCCCTTTCCGGACCACAACATGAGCCCCAGGACCCTTTGCCACGTGGGCTTGCGTTCGCGCGGAGCCAGTTGCGCGGGAGGGTTGACAAGTGGTGAGTTCCAATGGTCAGGAACCTTCAAGGTTGCATAACTATCACAATCCTTAGACAGCCATGTCCATTTCCATGAAAGGAGCTCGACCTTGGCCGATACATCATCTACTATGTTGAAGCACTTTAGCGAGAGAGAGAGTGTGATCGTGTTTGTACTAGCTCTCCTCATTCAATGATGAAGCACGCACCCAAGTCATGATTGCTTGTGAAGAGGGCAACAGGCCCTTCTACGTTCCCAAGACAATACTGAAAGGGAACCCCCAAGAAGAATTCGTTGGAGCTCATTCGCCAGGAACGTCTTCCAATCCGCCATGGGCAAGCAGGCCATCGGCGTTTTCGGCACCAACTTCTACGCTCGCATGGACACGTCGGAGCCCCGGCCAACCCAAACCGCGGCAGCTTCGGCCAATGGCCCTGTGCCAGCACTGTGGATGCATGTTGCACGTAAGGAGACACATTGCCAGCTGGAGTAACCCGGACTTCTTTCTTTAGAGGGTGTTTAAGCCGTGAACAGCTATGTTAGGTGATTTGATCCCACCAAGTGTCCAATGGGCTCGCTGCCAACCAGCCAGCAGTCCAGAGAGCATTGAGCAGTATTTGGAGTGGGGTGCGTCTGGCTCAGGTTTGCATGCGTCATGTGCTACCCCATGAAGCCATTTGTCCAGCGCTAAGCTCGTGCCCTTTGTGCTTTTCGGTGGCTTAACGCCTTGTGTAGACTTGCACTCCAACAGCTGCAGTCTCATGAGCCACTCACCATCCGCTCAAAGGTCAGGCCTTAAGTTAAAGCAAGGGACGCGTCAGGTGACAGCTTCGCCATACAGCTAGACATGGTTGTTGTTGGGAAACATTTTATCATTGTGGTTTAGTGGGAAATCCCCACTTAGCTGCTAGAATTTCAGATTTTGCTCCCCTTCCAACGTCAACCGAGTAGAGGCCACATCGAAGGGCCCTGCCGGCCGTGAGGTGGGCACAAGATCCATGAACTACCTGCGCTTCAGAGAGATGCCGGCGGGAGTCCGCGCCCCCAGTTGTCCAGTCGCACCTGGGAGTTTTTTGCAGTGACTCGCGGGACACAGAAAGCACACGAGAGGGAAAATGTGTAAGGAATTCAATACATGGACATATCCTAACAGGTGCACATGGGGCACCCCACAATTCTGGCCCCTGTTTTTTCTTCTTCTCCTTTTGACCCATCAACAAGGGGGCACCCTTGGAAAAACACACACACATACACACACACACCTTTAGTCGAGCCTCGGATGTGCTGTGAGGTCAACACGATAGTGTTCATCATGTGCTACACAGGCGAGGCAAGCCGCTGGGGTAGTCAACAGGACCTTTTCTTGGAGTGGTTTTAAATGGAGACCACAACGAAACTAGCTCTTTTGGGGGTTCCCGTATTTAAGACAACCCCAAGTATTCTGAGACTTTGGAATGTGCTGGTTTAGAAGGACATATATTACACACCGCACCCATGTCTTGCGAGCTATGGCAATGGAAGGGTTAGGAGCTGCACATCCTAGTAGCACCAAAGAGAACAAGGAGGGTGAGGAAGGCGGAGGTGCTGCATGGATTGCAAGGGGTAGGGTGGACACAGACAGCAGTTTGGCAAAATCTGATACATTCACATGATTGGCGTTATTAAACCAAATGCTTGCAATGGCCGTTTCACAATCTAACAATGACACAAGACTAAGACAATCAAGCATTTTAAGCGGACATGTGTGGCAAGCGGGACTTTAAAGGCTTTTGGCATCATAGCCAACTGATCAATCTAGGAGTTTGATGTCAGCCAATTGCATGTGCGGGACTCTGTTTGCACACTCCATACCGGCGAAAAGTGTAAAGTTAGCATGGACACGCAGAAACCAAACCGCTTATGGGATTCATAAGGGCTTAGTATCGCTTTTAGTCGAGTCGTGACTGGAAACTAGCTAGCATGGGCTGGCGTGAATGATCATGAAACAGTCATGTCTCTTTTGGGTCGGCCCTCCCCACACATCGAAAGTGAAGCAGCAAAGCAACAAGGCAGCAAAGCAACAAGGCAGCAAAGCAACAAAGCCGCAAAGCAAGCTGCTTGTCCTTTTCAGGACAGCAATCACATTGGTTGCATCCGGATTTGTGAATTTTGTCCCCTTGGACCATGGGGCCTTTTGGTCGCAAGCAGCGAGGCTACAACCAGGAGGATTCGCTCATGTTGGGCCTTGTGCTCGGCTTTGAAGCCGATGAGTCCAAACGGGTTGGAGCCCTCGGTTAAAACGTGGGTGTGAATTGGAAGGGACCTTGTGGAGACCGTTTTGGTGATTTATGTCCACCAACCACTTTGGAGGTGGTTCCTTTGTAACATTCATGACCATATGATATGTATTATTTCTTTTCTTTTTGCGACTGTTTACCAGGCAGCGCTTCAAGTTTTCATATAGACCCTGCTGTATCATCATTGCACAGTTGCCGCCTGGAAAAGGCGTGCCCCGGCGACGTGCTTAACAGGGAGTCCGGCAGGATTTTCCGAAGGGTGGATAGTCCAGTTCGCAGTTGTGAATGTGCACGATCCACACCAGTGAAGACAGGACCAAGTGAGGAACAAGGCATTGTCAGTTCGACTTCTACCACCAGCGACTGGAATGTGCTTGAGACGCAGGAAACTCTGTTTGTGGTAGAAGCACAAATGTCACGTTGAAAATCACGACAAAGTGGCAACATGCGTGCAAGCACTTGGACATTGCATAGACCGGCAGCAGTATTGCAGTGTATGAGTATCACTTGCGGGTGAGAGGAGCGATAAGGTGAACTACAAGTAAATAGTAGGCTGTGTTAGACCAGCATTTTAAAGTGTTGCAACATTTCAACTTGTTTGTTCGGAGCCTCGAAACATATTGCTGATATGCAACTGTGCTACGAAAAGACCGCGAGAGAGAGAGAGAGAGAGGGAGGGAGAGCAAAAGAGCGGAGTTGTTTTCCTTTTCCGGCAGTAAAGGGGCAAAAGGAGAGTGGACATATCATCCCCCGCATAGGCTAGTTACTGCACGCGCGTAGGCGCGCGTCCACTCTTTGACAGTCGGCTGGGGGGCTCCTCGCGTAGGCACCGCGTATTCTCAACTTGAAAGGTTGCCTGTAGGTGCGCACGAAAGAGCTTAGCACGAAGCGTACAGCACGTAGGCACTGTGACGCAAAACTGTAGCCGCGTAGGCTGACTGACATACACCTCGCGTAGGCCGTCCCGAATGATATTTGCACTTGGCGTAGGTGCCGGTGTAGGCGTGTGATACGTCATTTGCATTACCTTTCCAAAACAAGCTCTGCTCCGTTGTCAAGTGGCGGGGAGTCTTGGTGTGACCATAACCTTGTTACCACATGAGCAGCTCTAACCGGGTTGTGTCACGGGAAGGCCCCCCCTCAGCCGCGCTGCACGGCTGAAGCCGGCGTAAGCACTTTTGGGGAGTCATGCTGCGCAACTGCCTGCATAAGCTCTGCTTCGTGACTGCTTCCAAAAGTGTTGAGTGACAGAGCGCTTAGCCGTTGGCATCCGTTGGATTTCCAAACCACGAGGGTCACCGCACAGCAGATTCAGCAAAACCAAGGGGTCCCGGTGCATAAGCAGGTGTAGGCAGGCGTGCAAGGTTTGCGTAAGCTCGCCAAGCACTAGCACGGCTGCCCACTCGCCCACGCCATGATCTGCAAAAGCCGTTCCTTGATTTGCAGTGGATGCAGCACGAACTCTGGAGGTAAAGTTGTCGGCCAGATCCAAAGCGCTGAGCAAGAGGGCTGCAAAGTGAAGACCCGAGAAGAACAGCAGCGCCAAGTTGCTTCGACAGAGTCAATTTCATCAACCTCCTCGATAGCGGCTCCATAGAAAATCAAAAGGAGCCCACGTAAGCACATCTTGAGGGGCACTCAAACACCGACGCGTACGTAAGCGACGCGTAAGCTTGACATGCTCGCTGACTGGCGTGTAAGCTAAAACCTGGCATGCGCAAGCAACTTTCCACGACTTAGGGGTTCATGGCGTAATTGCCGAGTTGCTTGCATGTCAAGGGGAAAGAACCAAAATGCTTTGCCGGACCATTGGATGTGTTTTGATAATTGGGCGCGCAGCACTGAGTGAACAAATGGAATGCGGCATGCCGCGTTTTCCGACTAGAGAAGAATATGCACGACCATGCCCATTTGAGTTGTTGCCGTAATGCCATGAGCAATTGACACCACTACTGTATGGCCCCAAGTTTGGATTTCTGGATTTGCAAGAGCGGAGGTGCTTGAGCTGGGCCGACTTTTAGGTGAGTGATTGGAGACATGCATGACACGTTTATTATTTTTGTTTGAGCAGTAAGTCATTTAGACGAAAAGCTGGATCGGGCTGGGTGTAGAATGCTGAAACCCCATGTACGCAGCGTGAAACATTGTGCTGAAGGGGCACGCTATCCCCCCTGGCATAGTAATTTAATCAGGGGAGTCTCCTAATGCAAAACCATGTTTGGATTTGTTTCTTGCCTCGGGTTTTGGAAGCCTCGCTGGTTTGGTGAAAGAGACTCAACTCGATGGGTTGAACTGGTTTCGGTTTGATTCTATGTTTGATCGCATGGGGTAAGAAGAGGCCAGCGGTTCCGTGAGGTCAATCCTCGGTGGACCGTGGGTTCATGCGCGCAGTGTCCTACCGCTGCTACGCAGCGGAGGACGCCGGGTTTTTTCAGGGAGCCGTGAGCGCGGATCTTTGGAGGATCGGGTATACCGGCTTGCGCGACTGGCCATTTTTTAATTTTTGTTTTGTGAGAGCACACTTTTTTGGGTGGTTTAAACTGATATCAAGAGAAACATAAATTGTGCCGGTTCAATTTTTAGAAAGCATCGGTGTCGCGCACTGAATCTCAGGAGAAGTGGGAAGGGAAGAAGCCAGTGGACGAGCTACTTGGATTGATTCTTCTCGGGTTCTCTCCAGCCACCAGAACAAGTGGTTTCTGTTTGGCTTCGCTCTCAAACTATCAGGGGCACCTCGAATCTGGTACGCAGGCATACGAGCTGTGCATGCGTGCATTGATCGGTGGATTTCTGCTCCCTGCAGGTTTTGCCGACCAAAGGATTTCCGAACGATCGGCCTGAAAAACGGCGCCTTGTCTTGACTTTTGCAGCGGCTTGTCAAGGCCATCAGCCAAGCCTTGCATTTCTGCATGAACGGCACGCCAGAGTTGCAATGAGTCGGCTGCAGCGATTGAAGATTTGGGTGTGGCTCAAAAATGAATAGCTTGGGCTACGCAGGTTTTAGTCTTTGGTTCCAGATACCAAGATACCATTGACATGAGCCACAGGCATTTGACAGCGGCTTGCCAAGGGAACTACAAGTTGCTGGACTACGACGGCTTGGCCGAACCAGCCAGTCGCGTTTTAGGCCGGCTGCTTGGGGGCGTTTTGGCCTGCTTGGGTCTTCGGGTGGCGAGTCGTCCGTGCGGAGCGTGCTTGGCTCAACATGTTGCTTCACTCAAACATTCGAGGCAACAGCCTTTGCGGTGAAACATTGAAGGGAATATGGCCTTTTCTGTTCCAGCACCGTGCCGGGACTGCACAGCAGCGATACTTCTCGTCAATGCTCCCTGATCGAGCTTCCTGCCTTGGTCCATGACCGATGCCGATGTCATAATTACGTTGCATTGCCAGTTTTCGAGCGATGTAGGTGCAATCTTTGGGTTTGCTTAAAGCCATGGGGTTGATCAAAAGGTCCTTTGCACGTGATGACCATTGGGGGAAACCACTAAGATGATGTTTCCCACATGGAAAAATAACTACCCATGGTCATTTGAGTCACAATCAACACCCGGGTAGATGAAGGTTTGTAAGGGACGATCCCAACCGTAGCTTGCGGCCGCCTTATTAATCCTTTGCATGGTTCTGGGTAAGCCATTTTTGCAGCAGGTTTTGCTATTGGCTCATTTGGGTGTGGGTCAAAATTAAACCACCAGGGGACAGGTTTTAGTCATTGGTTCCATTTACCAGGGTTCCATTTTGGGTACCCATTTTCGACCCACAGCCAAGAGAGAGCCATGTGCGAGCAAAGCGGGTCCTCGGCCTCATTTGTTTGTGGAAAAAAGGGTTCTTACAAGGACTTCCGTGGTGTAGAATAGGGGACACGCGGGGCGGGGGTCTTCTGGGTAAGCCATTTTTGAAGCGGATTTTAATTGTGGCTCATTTGGTGCCCCGGGAACATTGACCCCCACGTAAAACCACGTCGGGAAAGAATCGCCAGGCGACGATGTGCTGATTGGCCGGACCTCAGCCCTGCCACCAGACATGATGAGTGCCTCGGCGAAATCGGCGCCAAGTTGGGGGCTCCTTAACAGTAATACATTCTGCAACCATTTGGGTGTGGGTCAAAAATCGGTACCTAAAATGGCTTGCCCTGGCAAATGGAAACATGAACTATCATGGACTAAAACCTGCGCTTTTTCTGGTGGTTCAATTTTGACCCATGCCCATTCGAAACATGTTGCTTTTTCAACACCAAAATAAAGGGACCTTGTTGGGTGCAGATGTGGGCGGTGGTGGTGGTGGCGTGATGGCGCACCTGCACTGACAATAAGACTGCTTGTTTAGGTTTCTACACCATTGTCAAGCCAACTTTTGAGCAAGTCGGGGCAAGACGCATCTTGCTTTCTGCGCCTCATACTGTTTGTGCGAGCTGCAAGAATGGCGAAAGCCAACTAAGAAGCGGAAGTGGGACCAGCGAGATACGACCGCAAGGACAGCCTTGTGCACTAATGGGTTTGGATGGCGGTGCCTTGTTTCAGGGCGTTGGTCAAAAGAAAGTAGCATTCTGTGCATATGGGGCTTGATCAAAAGGTGCTTTACACAGGATGGCCATGGGAGGAAAACACGAAGATGATAGTTCCCAGTGGGAAAAGATCAATGTGAGATCAACAAACTACAAGGTACACGGCGTGTAGACGGCCGTGGTGGTTTCAAGGGATTTTTCGGGCATGCATGCAGCGTTCTGCGGCGGCGCTACAGTGTGATTCGCAGCACACGCACTGTTTTTCTCTTGCGCAACGCACATGTTTGAAGTCCAAATTTTGTGCCAAACTACTTTCTACAAGCTTTTCCAGCTCATATTGGAATCGGACTGCTGACATCTGCGGCATCCGAATACGAAAGCATCGTTGTCATGACACTTTGCAGACCCAGCAAGCGTCTAGAGTCTAGACAAAACAAAGGCAGAAGCAGTCAAAGCAGGGGCAAGGCAGCCACCAACCGTGCAAACGTACCGAGACCAGGCGGACGCAGGCGAAGGAAGATGTTCCGTCAAAGAAGTGAAGCAAATCAAACCACGCACGGTGGAATAAATGGAGGCAATAATTACGAATTCAAGCACAGAATATCCACGTGAAATGGTGCAAGATGATGGTCCAAATACCAGGACAAGCAGACTAAACCCTCAAGAGAACCTCAGACCGGTTTGGGGGTGGAACGCAAGCCAAACGCAAAAGCAGAACAAACGCAAGAGACAAAGACACTTCAAAAGCATACGCATCCATGGCGCTCACATTGAGCCGAAACAAGAAATGACCCGACTCGGCAGCCGCCGCAAAACAAGCCAGGGTGTTCCACAAACTTGCGCCGAAAAAAGCAGCTCAACAGCCGAACCTTGACATCAATCTCCCCCCCCCCAGCAGACCCCATAAACCACGCAAACAGCAGCTAAATTAGACAAAGTGTTCCTCACCAACACAAAAAGAAGCGCGGGCCAAGGGACAAAAACATGCAAAACAGAACAAATGCTTAGAACACCACGGCCGTCTACACGCCGTGCACCAACTACAATCACTTCATTTGCCTTAATCTGCCCCAATCAGTGGGTGGAACCCTGATGACATTTTGCGCAGCCTTTGAAGCAGAAAAGCTAGATATTGGATGACTATGTTGACACTATGAAAGCAGCTGGTATTGGTAGAAGTACTCGCAATAGCTTGTTTAATTTGAGCTGTTGCTTGGGGACAGACGGCGTCTTCAATCGCAGGGGATTCTGGTTCCCAACACTGGAATAGGAGAGGTCATCTCGCGAAACCCTTCAGGTGCCTTTGAATGGGATTGGGTGGCAGTGGGCTGGAAAGAAGTTCTCTTTTTAATGTCAGGGGCATTATTCCAGATGACATTAAACAACCTTCGCAACAAAGCCATGGGTTTGTCTCATGGCGGAACCGAGGCTTTGGTTCCCCGTTCGAGTTTCCTTTTCAAGCCTCAAAGGGGTGTGGGTTTGTTCGATTCCATCAGGCCAAAACAGACCTTATCCGGAGGCACCTTATCCTGAGAGGCGCTCAGGTGGATGGGTTTTCCACTTTGTTTCATCAGATCAGATTGCAGCAGTCAGGATTGTCAAGAATTGGCGGTTTGGATTGGTGGCTTGAACCTCTCCTTAAGCCAAGGGAAGGTCCCCATGTCCCAACCACCCACCCATTTTGGGGGTCCACGTCCCTATGAAAGTGAAGCCAGGCATAGGTCCTATCGCTATGTCTCGCAGGACAGCTCCATTCTCTGCAGAACTGCGGAGAGCGGCGTAGTGGACCAGGTCTTGGTGAGTCTCAACAAGGATGGGCCGCAGCCTGAGGCCCGCTCGTCTTCCCTTCTGGACTCCGTGTGTGTGTGTGTGTGTATCGTTTTTGTTTTTTTCCCCAGGTGAGGAACTCAATAAAAACAACTAACCATGTCGAGCTCCCTCTTTCGGCACATACCCTAGTTGCCTCGCTGGGTTTCAATGGGGTAAGTTGCTCCCTGACAATTCCTTAGCCTCTCAATCAACCAGCAGAACAGTGTGCAGCTGTCGACAAGTAACTGATTGACAGTTCAAAATCCTGGAACAAAGAAGGCTGCAGCAGCAGGAGCACCAACAACAACCACAACAACAATAACAACCACAACAACCACAAGGACGACCACGACGGCGAAGACCACGACCACGACGACGAAGACGACGACGACGACGACGACAACAACAACAACAACAGCAACAACAGCAACAACAAAACAAACACAACCACAACGACAACGACAACGCAACAATGACAACAACAAGAACAAGAACAAGAACAAGAGCAAGAGCAAGAGCAAGAACAAGAACAATAACAAGAGCCAGAACAATAACAATAACAAGAACAAGAACAATAGCAATATCAATAACAACAACAATAACAAGAAAAGCAAGAACACGAGCAACAACAACCACAACAACAACAACACAACAACGGCAACGGCAACGACAACTGCAACAGCAACCAACAACAACAACAACAACAACAACAACAACAACAACAACAACAAGAACAAGAACAATAACAAGAACAAGAACAATAACAAGAACAAAAACAAGAACAAGAGCAAAAACAAACACACTAACAACAACAAGAGCAATAACAATAGCAATATCAATAGCAACAACAATAACAAGAACTGCAAGAACACGAGCAACAACAACCACAACAACAGCACACAACAACGGCAACGGCAACGACAACTACAACAGCAACCAACAACAACAACAACAACAACAACAACAACAACAACAACAACAACAACAACAACAACAACAACAACAACAACACCCACAACCACAACCACAACCACAACCACAACCACAACCACAACCAGAACAACAACAAGAACAAGAACAAGCACAAGCACAATAACAGCAAGAACAATAACAAGAGCAACAACAAGAGCAACAACAATAGCAACAACAACCACAACAACGACAACGGCAACGACAACTACAACAGCAACCAGCAACGACCACAACAACAACAACAAGAACAAGAACAAGAACGATAACAGCAAGAACAAGAACAAGCGC